TGTCCACGAGGGACTATATGTTAGACCACACACACACACACACACAAACACACACACACACACACACACAGATATTAATAAATTTTAAAATTCTGAAATCATACAGAGTATTTTATCTGATCACAATGTAATGAAGCTAGAAATCAACAGAAGGAAATGAGAAAATTTACCAATATGTAGATACTAAGCAACAAATGGGTCAAGGAAAAAAAAATTAAAAGGGTAATTAGAAAATACTGAGAAAAATAAAAACAGAAAGAAAAAAACAAAAACACACACAACATACCAAAACTTATGGGATGCCACAAAGACAGTACTGAGGGAAATTTAAAGCTGTAAAAAAATGCGCACATTAAAAGTAAAGATCTTGGGGCGGCCAGGTGGCTAAGTTAACTAGAACACATGCTCTTAACAATAAGGTTGCCAGTTCGATTCCCCCATGGGCCAGTGAGCTGCACCCTCTGCAACTAGATTGAAGACAACGACTTGAGCTGAGCTGACACTGAGCTGCGGATGGCTCAGGTGGTTAGAGCATGTGCTCTTAAACAATAAGGTTGCCGGTTCGATTCCCACATGGAATGGTGTACTGTGTCCCCCCACAACTAGATTGAAAACGGTGACTGGACTTGGAGCTGAGCTGCGCCCTCCACAACTAGATTGAAACAACTACTTGACTTGGAGCTGATGGGTCCTGGAAAAACACACTGTTCCCCAATAAAAGTTTTTAAATAAATAAATGACTTAACTTTACATTTTGTTTGTAAAGCTAGAAAATAAACACTGATTGAAAATGATAAGAAACAAAGATTAAAGTCAGTATAAATAGAGAATAGAAATACAATAAAGACAATCAATAAAACCAAAGTTGGTTCTTTGAAAAGATCAACAAAATTGACAAACCTTTGGTTAGACTAAGAAAATACAGAGAAGCAAATAATTAAAATTAGAAATAAGAGTGTAGATACTACCAAACGTACATAAACAAAGAGTATTAGAAAATATTATGAACTATACCAAAAAAGATATAAACGAGATGAAAAGAACAAATTCCTAGAAACACAAATTACCTAAACCAGTTCAAGAAACAGATAATCTCAACAAACCTGTAACAAATAAAGTGATTGAATCAGTAATTAAGGCTCTCAACGATAACATCAAAAAGCCCAGGATCAGATGGCTTTATTCTACTGAATTCTTCCAAATATTTAAGTAATTAACATTAACCTTTCCAAACTCTTCCAAAAAACAGAAGAGGAGGTATCAATTACTAACTATTCTATAAAGCTAGCATTACTCTGACACCAAAGCTAGATAACGATATCACAAGAAAATAAAATTACAAACCCATATCTCTTACGAATATAGATGTCAAAATCCTCAACATAATACTAGGAAATAAAATCTAACAGCATGTTAAAAGGATGACTAAGTGGAAATTATGCCAGGAATGCAAGGGTGGTTCAACTTAAGAAAATCAACCAATGTAATACACCACATTAACAGAATGAAGGAAAAAACACAAAATATCACTTATAATCACACAAAAATTAAATACTTAAGGAGAAAATCTAACAAACCATGTACAAAGCATACATGCTGAAAACTGCAAAACACTGCTGAAAGAAATAAAAAATTTAAATAAATGGAGAGGCATACTAGTCTTTTCTGGAAGACTAAACACAGTAAAGCTGTCAATTTTCTCCAAACTGGATAGAGAGGTTTCATGCAATTCCTTTGAAAATACAAGCAATATTTTTTTGTATACAAAATTATTCTAAAATTCATATTCTAAGGCAAAGGAACTAAAATAGCTACAACTTTATAAAAGAATAAAGTGTAAGAAATAGGACTACCCAATGTCAAGACTTACTATATAACTACAGTAACAAGACTGGTACTAGCAGAGGGACAGACACATAGATCAATGGAGAAGAATAGAGAACTCAGAAATAGGCCCACACTGGGCCGGCCGAGTGGCATGATGGTTAGGAACTGGCTTGGGACACCAGAGGGCCCCGGTTCGGATCCCATGTATGAGGGCCAGTGACACTGCCCTCCACAGCTAAGATGCTGAACAACAGCTCGACCTGGAGCTGGGCTGCAGTGGGTCGCCGGCGACGGCGTGGGCTGCAGCCCCTGTGGCAGTGGGTTACCATGGGCTACTGTGTGTAGCCAGCAGCCAGCGTGAGCGGCCAGCAGCCACAGTGAGCGGCCGTCCAGAAGCCGGCGACTGATCTGCCTCGCCCGGGAAGAGCGCAATGATGGTGCCAACTTGGGCCAGTGAAGCAACGTCCTCCACAACTAGACTGAAGAACAAAACCACAGCAACTTGTCTGTTCCCCTCCCCCCAATTCCCCAGCACTGTTCCCATCCCCCCAATTCCCCAATAAAAGTAAAAAAAAAAAGAAATAGGCCCACACAATATATGCTCAACTGATTTTGACAAAGGTGTAAACCTAATTCGATGAAAGAAAGATGGTCTTTTCAAAATATGGTGCTGGACCAAGTGAACATCCAGGCAAAAAAATAAACTTTGACCTAAACCTCACCTTTTATGTAAAAATTGACTCAAAATGGATCAAGGACTTAAATGTAAAACTTAAAACTACAACAACTTTTAGGAAAAAAAGAAATACAGAAGAAAATCTTCAGGATGTAGGTCTAGGCAGAATTCTTAAAACTTGATGCCTTCTGGACACCTTTTGCATGATCCATAAAGGAAAAATTGATATACACCACTTGGTACTCACCTCTCCAAGCCAGAGAAGTCCATGGTCATTTATATATACACCTTTAAAGCCAATGTCAGAAATACCTGCAGACACACAGACACACACACTCACACTCCTTATATCCCCAGTTCTCTGAGGGCCCCCAAGGCCTGCAGGGCAGGAGCTGGGCAGGTCCACAGCAAAGGCCTCCTCGGCCAGGCAGGCCCTGAGAGCACTGCTAGTACGGGCACAGGTCAGGCAATAATGACCCCAAATAATCAAGAGTGGCAGGTGTGATTAAGAGCATGTTATGATTAACATGGCCAAAGCCAAATCTGTACCATTTGGCACAGGAATTGGTAAGAAGCGTGTATTTTGGGGAGTATGAAAGCAAGGTGTACTAGTGGGAAGTACATGAGAGCACACGAGCATCCAAAGACCTTTTGATGAGGGAGGCTCACATTTGAAGCTTGGGGATAAAAAAGACAAGGCAGATTTTGGATAGAGGAACACGTGTGCGTTAAGGGCAACCCGCTGGTGTGGAGTTAGGATAGCAGAGCAGTGAGGTCAGGGACACGGGATCTGCAAAGGATACACACTCAGTTATGAGTAAGTTCTGGAGGCTAACGCACACCATGGTGACTATAGTTAATGTATTATAAACCGGAAACTGGCTAAGGGTAGATCTCAAGTGTTCTCATCACATACACACACACAACAGGTAACTATGAGAGGTGGTGGATGTGTTCATTTAATCGTGGTAATCTTTTCACAATGTACACATACATCAAAACATCACATTTGCGCACATACAACTTTTAGCTGTCAAAAATAAAGAAACAAAAACAAAACACTCTGTTTTTAAAGAACACAAGATCAGCAATGAGGCCTTTCAAATGATTGCTTAGGAAGGCTGTGTGACTGTCCAGGCCCCCGCTAGTGTGTCAGGATCTTCTTTCGGGAGCATCTCTAAGAAACCCAGCAGCGTTTGACAGGAGGAATCCTAGAACGTCAGACCGGAAGGAGTGCTTACAGAGCACCAATTCTCCCTGCAACGTGCTGATTATAATTAGTAAAAGAACCGAGGCACAGAGGTAAGTGGTGAGCCAAGGTCCTGGGGAAGTTCACTGCAGACCCAGGACTAGGACCCAGGGCTCCTTACTCCTGTCCGTTTCTTTAGTACACTGACCTTATTGCTTTAGTTTAAGCATGCGGCTCGGATATAACGGGAACAAGTGATCTCTCTGCCCCTTGAAATGGGGGTGAAATTCTCTTCAAATCTCTACCCTATGACTTCTAGAAGTCCAAAGCCCTGTAAAAGATGTCTCCAAGTTTCCAAAGTGCAGGGGGTGCCGAATGTTCTCCTGGCTGCCTGTTTTAAGGATGGTCTTTCCAGCATGCTACCTCTCCACACCACCTGGCCAGTCTGACAGACTCAGTCATATCCACCCAAATCACATGAGGCACCTCCTGCCACAGATTCAAGGAAGTGGCCTTAATTACATATTTAAAATTTTTAATTGGCTTCTAGCAGTGTCAACTTTTTTCACTGGCAACTTTCATCCAGCAATTCTTTAGAGACTAAAGGCTGAAATCAATACACAAACTTTCTTCAACTAAATAACAACACCTATACATCACTGGCGCTCCTTGGGCATCTGCCTGGCAGTGAAATATAACAGAGGTCATTTAGATTCCTTGTATTTGCCAGAGAACGTGAGGCCTAGAGAATCTGGTCCAGAGAAACTAAATAGTGACTTCTTTAAAAATTAGTTTAACATTCACTGAAAACAGCATCTTATTTTTAAGTAACCTGCTAAATTTCTGCAGAATCACTTTCCACATCATAGTTATTCTATCAAGTAAGATAAAGAAACAAGCCTTATGAAGGTAAAATGTTAATGGTTGCTAATAACATCTGGTTTCAGGATCCATGGAGTGTCAATGTGTAGTGCAGACTGAGTGCACGCATGCGGTCTTAAAGTTTGGATGACTGGATGAACATGCACTTTCCACCCCACCCCCCGAATGCATCAGCCAAGCCACCACCACACACAAAACAAAGCCACTTCTATAATCAATTTTAGACTCGGGTGTGTTTGTCGAGAATTGCAAATATATGAGGCCTAAGTAAGGTGTTGTACGTGGTTACAGAACTGGAATAAGAGAAAACTTTACTGTAATTAAACAAAGCTATATTAGGTTTACTTTGTAAAGAAGACAAGACAAATACTCCCAGAATGTCCCAAGTCCTTGAACACAGTGAAGAAAACACGAGTCAGAGGCCACTGACTTAACAAATGACTTTATTGAGAGAGAAGGACAAGATTTGTGTTTGCCTCAAACCATCCAGGAAAACAAGCACACATACTTATACAATACTTTGGTTTAAAAATTATTCATATTGATGTTAATCCTGATGTTTAAAGAATCCAATGGGACACAGGTTAAAAAACAAACCATAAAAACCGAAGCTTGCATAGATGAATTCATGTCAATGTGTCAGTGGCATTTCAGGGAGGCCTGGACTCAAGTCCCAGTGACATTACCACTTGAACCTCCCAAGACACACGAAGGTCACCAGCACCATGTTTCTCCTTTTCCTTGATTAGGCCACAAGCAGGAAGCACTCACGCTGCGCGCGGGTGAGCTGCAACGGGCTGTTCCCACGGCCTCGTCCAGGTGGGCGTGCACACACACCCACCAATACCCACCACCCACCACCTTTAAGGCATCCACAACATGTCCCTCACAGTTCCACTTAATCTCTAGATAGGCATGTGGTTTGAGGTGGGCTCTGTTTTCTGTCCTCAGACAGGCGGCTGTATTCCATTCCGGTTCTACCCAGTTCCATGAAGTAATTATTTCAAGGCTGTCTTTCTTTCTGGGCCTTGGCTACAAATGAATATGAGCACTCGGGATAATGTCTCACTTGTTTTTCTAACATACCCACGTTCCAAGCGGCAAAGGGGTTCTTACCAAAGAATCTGAAACTGCCTGGGCACCAAGTTGTCATCTCTCAAGACAGAACTTTCCCAAATTATAAGATAGAGGACAGCACCACCCAATGTCCTGAGCAACTTGATTTATACGAAAAATAATTCAGCACCTTTTCAAAATGTATTGTGCTGGGATGGATTGTTCTTAAGGAAAGCCCCATTAGAGCATTCTCATTTTGGATGATCATTTTATTACACGCTATCTTCCCACTGTACCTCCTCATGATGTATCATTCTTCATGGAATAAATACTGGGCTGCCTTTAAGAGGCAGGCGAAAAATACAGCTATTTCTGAGAAAGAGCATTTGGCTTTCAGTTTATAGCAAGAGCTGAAGTTACAGCCTACAGGGATTTCACAGACTTATTCAATCAGAAAATTAAAAAAAAAAAATTCTGACATCAAAAACCCTCTTACTAAATTTCACAGCTAGAAACTATTTTAGCAATTATGGTTTGAAATTCAGTGCAACTAAAACATATCCTAAGTATATGATGTGCAATAGTATATCCGCTGAACCTTTTCTCTTTGCTAGTCTTCATCCTTTTTCTTTTGTGAAGAATGTGGCACTCAAACCCTGTCTTTCAATTCTTCTGTTCTTTATATATGAACCACAGCAATAAATAATGGGACACTGGGTTACACAGTTATAATTGTCCTTATCTGAAATGCTGAAGTCAGCATAATACTGGTTGCCTATGCTATGAAGAGTTACTCAGAAAGAGAAAAACATTTTCTAGTCTGCTGAGAATACACAAAAACATATTAAATCTATTACAAACATGTTTCTAGGCAGCTTTCACAAATATATAAAGAGAATGTTTTTTTTAGGACCAGACATTTCCACAAATTAACATGATTACTTACATGACTGCATTAGTTTGTGGCATCAAACACAACTTTAAAAAGGAACTACTCTGGTGTCTTCTCTACCACAATAAAAGTTTTCCTGGTTAATTTTTTCTTAAAAACAATAAAACAGAAAGACTCTTCACATCAACAAATCTCCAATTTCAAGTAAATCTCTCTATTTTGTTTGGTTTTCTCTTTTTGTTGTTAATGGTATGTATTTCAATACACAGAAGTATTGGTGAAATTTTTACAAACCAGTAACGAGTGACTTCACTGCACAATAGAACCTTTGGAAACATCTTCTACACAATCGTAATGGAAAAAGACAGTCAACTCTCGATTATTCAGAAAGCATCACCTGAAAACCTGGCCAGGAAATTCTCCCTCTCCTACCAATCTATTTGGCCACTGCTCATCCATAGATAGAGGCAATTTGAAATGGAATGATGGCTCTATCATCATAGATGTACAGGCCACCCATAGCTCAGTGGGAGGTCCAAAACTCTGGATGACAAGGATGTTTGGGGACCACCTGAGAATTTTACATGTCAATGGAGAGTTGACAGTCATTCACATATGGTAAGTACAATACAATGACCTCAGTTGGAATCCAACTCATTTAAGGCAATGCTGCTCCGCAGACATTGCTGGCATAAAGGGCAGGTCTCAACAGAAAAGTGACTCTAGAAGTGAGATTTCCTCAGTTTCCCCCTTCCTTCTTTGCTAGCATTAAATTTCAACATTCCAACAACAGTGAAATCGCAGGAGCAACGATAGCCTCAACTCTTCCCTTTACGGATCTATGTATCATCAGGAATAAGAGATTCTTCCACCAAAAGTTCGGATGACTTCGTGCCCATGCAGCATTCTCAGCACAGCCTCCAGTTTGCTTCCCCCTGACCCTACTACCTATTATGGGGAAAAGGAGTCTAGCAATAAGACAAAGCAGTTATGGCTTCAAGACTCACAGGCACCACCAGATGTGAGGAGAAAATGGGGCCATTCTATCTAGTCACTTCTCTATGAGCAGTAAGTAATGAACAAAATACTTTAAAAATCTGTTTTTTTTTCCTTTTGGCTAAAAGAATAGATTTTGATTTTTTTATAATTGTTTCTAAAACGCTGATGTTATCAGAATATGGCATACTCTGTAGTGAAATCTACAGGGTCGGTGTTCTCTTTTACATTAACGTTCCCTACATAAATACTGTTTTCCCAAAAGGGAAAAGGCCCTTGAATGGAAGTTCTACTCTGTTCTCAGTCCTTTAGTAAGCTGATTACACAGGGGTCTTGTTCTTTTATTAGGCTGAAGATCTTACAGCCAATCACCACGGTTATCTTTCAAGAAAACCGTCACCAAATAAGTGAATAATCTTGGTATTCCCCAAAGTGATTTTTATACAAAGGCAACACTCATTAAAAATCAAGGCCCTAAAATGTTAACCACTTATGTGGTAAACTGAATGCACCATATTATAGCAAGTGATTCCAAAGAACAATTTGGCACAAGACAGAATTTAGAGAATATTTGACAGTATTAAAGAAAAATAATTACCAGTTAAAAGTTAATTATTTTTATACCGAAAAGTCCTGACATTGAGGGATCGGTATGGACAAAGTCAGCAATGAATGTATTCATCATCCAGTCCAGCTGCAGGCCACAGTAGAGAAGCAAAGGGAAAAATGGGTCCAGTTCATACTTTTCTGTGAGTTCAGTGGAACACAAGGCCCAGGGCCACACACTTTGGTCACACGTACTGTTCTAGATGCAAGTGGCCACTGCCATTCTGAATAGGCCCTTCTCCTGGGAGCCTCGATCCCCATCTGTCTTTTCTAATTTAGATGTGTCTCTGATCAAAAACCACAGTCTTTCTTGGAGTTCATTAGTTTGTTGCTGGTTATTGTAAAGCCACTTCAGAAACAGTAATTCAACGGTATACAAAGTCACTTTCTAAAAATCTCAGTGTTCCATCAAAGCCTGTGTAGCAACTCTCCAGCCTCCCAAAAAAACAACTACGTCCGACAACGGTTTGACACTACAGTTAAACTGTTTTCAACTCAAAATGTTTAATCTGACCCTTACCTCGCCTTGCTTTTCCAGGCCATGACCTACAAAAAGTTAGGCTGGGCGGAGGGGATGTACATGTCCAGTAGCAGTATAAGACTCCTTAACACATTGTGCTCATTCGGCAATACTGGTGTTAAGGGAGCGTGGCCTCCAGAGAACAGAGGTATAGAAATATTTTCCAAGGCCAGAAGTATTAGTTTACATCACAACATTAGAGCACAATACATTATGCTTAAATTGCATGTGTTCCAGCAGTAGGGACAGGAACAAAATAAATGTGTCCGCATTTATACAAAAATGACAAAGTGAAAAGCAGAGAACACAGTGAAGAATGTTTGGTAGTTCCTTAAAAATACAGTTGTTAGTTGCTTCTACAGTCTCAAAGATAATAATTACATTACTTGAATAAGAACCAGAGGATTTAACTGGTTGAGTTTGATTTCTGTCTCCTTGCTCACAGGGAAAGAATTACTGAAACTCTAAAAAGTGTTTGTTTTACAAAAAAATAAATAAAATTAAATACTTTTAAATTGTAATCTTCTAAAAACTTTTAAAAAATCAAATCTTCAATATAGATGTTGAATTGGGTATCACAAGGGAAATATCACCTTTGATCACTTCCTAAGACAATTGAAACACTAACATTCTGGTTGAGTGTCAAGTGGCCTGATATTCTGAATGAAATATATCCAGTTAGCATTTACAATAATAAATATAATTGGATGAAGTACATGAGAGGCGAGAGGAATGCAGAATTGTAAAAGTAAAACCGATCATTGCATGATAGAAAAATAAACATTTATAAAATAAAAATATGGCAAATGATATTGCCCATTTGCCTAATTATCAAATAAAAATACACTGTTGTTGTTTTTTTTCTTTAAAACTACTATAAAAACTTCTAAAAACATGAAGCAAAATCACAGGGCAGACAAAGAAAAATAGCACATGACTAGAAGTCAATAAGGCCTAAGCTTTGGATATTGAAACCACCCTCTGGAATCTGCCTTAAGGCAAGGACCTGTGTGCCCGTGACTAAATGAAGACTTTTCTTCATTCATTTCATCATGGCCATTCAAAGTACTGTTAGCATCCCTTTCCTCATTTCTCTGAAATGACTACCTCCTGTAGGGTTTTGTTTCTCTATAATTTAGCCAAAACTTAACTCTTAGATACCTTTTACCAAGTTCTTACAGTCCAAAAACTGTATGAAACTAAAGATCTTTCTCAAAATGAAAGACCCAAATCCACTCTCAGAAACTACTCTAAATAGCTTCCTGAACATTGCCCGACTTTAAAGACCATCTGGAAAGATAAGGCAAAAGGAAGGCATTTCCCAATGGGAAAAGAATGGATTAACAACTTTTTCTCTAGTCACCTATGTATTTCTTTCCAAAACAAACACCATACTAGAATGCCAAAAACGTGACATTCACACAATGAAAAATAATAGGAAGTCAAGCTAAAGGAATATTACTTATATATAGAGCGTGACTGCCATTTGTGTTAACTGGTATAGGAAAATAAGCATTTCTGTAAGGTTAGAAGCTAGACAAAGACTAGATTTCTTAAAGAGAAGTTTAAAGGTCTTGTATAAAAGATCCAATGACCATGTATCATTAATGAATGCATAGAACCAAATACTTTAGATAAAGAATCACTTTATCAACTTCAACTTCATGTTGAATTAATCTAATTATTAATAGATACACAAACTATTTTTGAGAGGTTGTCAACAAATACTGTTATGTTTTTTAAGCAAGAGAACTTTGATCTACAGCCAGAGAGAATAATGGCACCACCACTTATGTAAACACCTTCCCAATTCCATTTGCCTTGGCTTTGTAAGTAAATGTAAAATAAGAGAAGGGATAGAAAGTTTTTCAGTTTTAGTTGACTTTACAAAGACCTGAGTTAAAATATCACAGAAATAAATTTTTGCCAATAAATAAATAAATGAGCGATACCCAGAGGCTTCAGGAAGCTTCGTTATTAAGGAAGCACAGCAAAGAAAGTGTCAGAGAATGACATCTAGGCCAATTCTCCCTGGAGGGTGGACAAGGACATGTAAAACCTCTAGAGTTCGTTCTGGTAGTCGGAGTAACATTTACAACTGTTCCAAGTGTTTGGTTTTCTTTTTTTTAAATACTTTATAGTTGTAATTTTTTTCTTTTCCTAAAAACTACAAAAAGCAAAAGGCTCCGTCTTTCAATACATCATATACTAATGCACCAAAAAAGCTATTTCATATATTCTTTTATTCTGCATTGCATCCACACATTATGTTTTACCTTGATCATTATCGTCACAAAACTCTAATTGCTAAGTAAATCCTAGCCCCTAAATACCAACACACGATACCTAACAAAAATGGCATTTTATAGATCTCATAGATACTATATCCCAGGAAGCATATGCAGTGTAGAGGTGGTCAATATTCAGAAGCTAGGTTTTCTTGTGCTGCCCAAGTGATCAGAAATAATAAAAACATTTTAAATGAATTAAAATTATTTATGGTCAGAAAAATAGTTGAGGATAAATCCCCAGAACACAACATAGGAGGAAAAAATAAGCACAGAATGCATTCTGTATTATCCAGTAATATTGGCTACAGTGAGTCCGTTTTCAAGGCAGATTCCTAGGTTTTTACTGCTTATAGTGGAAACCTGGGGAGGGAAACAAAAAAGAAGAAATGCCATTAAGGAAAAATCTTTGAAAGTTGGTAATCTACAGATTCAATGCAATCTCTATCAAAACACCACAGACATTTTTCACAGAATTAGAACAAATAATCCTAAAATTTATATGGAACCACAAAAGACCCTGAATAGCCAAAGCAATCTTGAGAAAGAGCAAAGTTGGAGGTATCACTACCTGACATCAACTATACTACAAAGCTATAGTAATCAAAGCAGCATGGTAGTGGCATAAAAACAAACACATAGATGAATGAAATAGAGTGGAGAGCCCAGAAATAAACCCACGTTCCATACGGTCAATTAACCTATGACAAAGGAGTTAAGAGTATACAATGGGGTAAAGACAGTCTCTTCAATAAATAGTGCTGGGAAAACTGGGCAGATACATACAGAAAAAAATGAAACCAAACCACCTTTTTACATCATATATAAGAATAAACTCAAAATGAATTAAAGACTTAAATGTAAGACCTGAAACCATAAAACTACTAGAAGAAAACACAGGCAGTAAACTCTTTGACATTGCAATACTTATTTGGGTAAGTCTCCCTGGATAAGGAAAACAAAAGAAAAATACACAAATGGGACTACATCAAAATGAAAAGCTTTTGCACAGCACAGAAAACCATCAACAAAAAAGAAGAGACAGGGCCGGCTGAGTGGCGCGATGGTTAAGAACTGGCTTGGGATGCCAGAGGGCCCCGGTTCGGATCCCACATATGAGGGCCAGTGACACTGTCCTCTACAGCTAAGATGCTGAACAACAGCTCAACCTGGAGCTGAGCTGCCGTGAGTCGCCAGCGACGGCATTGGCTGCGGCCCCTGCTACAGTGGGTTGCCATGGGCTACCGTGTGTAGCCAGCAGCCAGCGTGAGCGGCCAGCAGCCGCTGTGAGCGGCTGTCCAGAAGCCGGCGACTGATGTGCCTCTCCTGGGAAGAGCGCGATGATGGTGCCAACTTGGGCCAGTGAAGCAACATCCTCCACAACTAGACTGAAGAACAAAAAAAAAAAAACGACAGCAACTTGTCTGTTCCCTTTCCCCCAATTCCCCAGCACTGTTCCCATCCCCCCAATTCCCCAATAAAAATCTTTTAAAAAAAAAAAATGGGTAGAGGATCTGAACAGACATTTCTCCAAACAGGACATACAGATAGACAACAGACATATGAAAAAATGCTCAAAGTCACTAATCACCAGAGAAATGTAAATAAAAACCACAATGAGATATCACCTCACACCTGACAGAATGGCTACATCAGTAAATTAACAAACAATAAATGCTGGCAAGGATGTGGAGAAAAGGGAACCCTCGTGCACTGTTGGTGGGACTGCAAATTAGTGCAGCCATTATGGAAAATGATTTGGAGGTTCCTCAAAAAATTAAAAATAGAACTACCTTATGACCTAGCAATTCCACTTCTGAGGATTTATCCAAAGAAACACAAAACACTAATTCAAATAGATATATGCACCCCTATGTTCCCTATAGCATTATTTACAATAACCAAGATATGGAAGCAACTTAAGTGTCTACCTATAGACAAATGGATAAAGAAGAGGTGGTACATATATACAAAGGAATATTAGCCATAAAAAAGAACGAAATTTTGTCATCTGCTACAACATGGATGAAACTAAAGCGTATTATGCAAAGTGAAATGAGTCAGACAGAGAAAGACAAATACCATATGGTTCCACTTACATGTGGAATCTAAAAACTTAACAACAAACAAAGCAGAAACAGACTCATACAGAGGACAAGCTGATAGTCACCAAATGGGAGCGAGAGAGGGGAGATGCCGAAAAAGGTAAAGGGATCAAGAAGCACAAATCAGCAGTTATAAAACAGTCACGTGCATGTCCCGTGCAGAATAGGGACTATACTCAGTAACACTGCAGTAACTATGTGTGGTGCCAGATGAGTATCAGACTTATATCCGGGGTGATCACTTATAAGTTATAGAAATGTCTCATCATTATGTTGGACACCTGAAACTAATGTAATATTGTGTGTCAACTATAACTGAAATTTTTGCAAATTATTTTTTGAAAATAAATTTTTCTTAAGATCTATCTTTGATGTATTACAGAATTGCACACCTTAAATCTATACAACTTTGCTAACAATTGTCACCCCAATAAATTTTATTAAAAAATAAAATAAGATCTGAAACGCTGTTTTTCTCCCTGCTCAGGCAAAATAATTTATCTTTATTTCTATGCATTTCAAGTAGTTCATGTTTTCTTCATTCTTGATTATAAAATATTTATATGTAGAATCATTGTGTGATGTATTATAGAATTATACACTTGAAATCTATGTAGTTTTATTGACCAGTCACCCCAATAAATTTTAATACAAAAAAGAATCATTGTATTATTTTAGTATTATCAAATATAAGTCAAGAACACGAAGGTACCCCCTAAAAAGTAATGCACATATATAGTTTGAGAGAAAAAAATCATGAGCTACTTGCAGTTAAAACAGGGATGGTGAAAAGGCCATCAAAAGGTGGAAATTGTACTGTATGGGTTTTCTGTTTTGAGAAAGTCTAATTTATCCCATCTTCAAATAATGTCTTTTGCCTTATTCTCAACATTTGATGAATGTTAGAATGGAGAGGGGTGGGGGGAGGAGAGCTTTATAAAAAATACAAACACCTAGCAACCCCCCACCCTTTGAAATTGTGATTTAATTAATCTGGAGTGGCACCTGTATGACTGTAGTAAAAGAAGTTTGGCAGGGCTATCATGAGATTTGGAAAAGGATGATAAAAACACTAAGAAATCTTGAAAAATCATAACAAATTGTAAACATCAGTAAGACCTAATATTTATAAAGCCTATCGCAATGTGCTTTCATATATTTTACTTTTATGATCCTGACAACAATGCTGGCACTATTAAAATCATGTCCATTTTTAGATGAGGAAATAAATATAAAAAGCTTTTGTTATCTCATTTTATGACTACCATAAAAATACACATAAGTGAATGCATATGCTTTGAAGAGCAACTACATTCAACTTTCATTTTAAAATCTGGCCCATCTTAGGTCTCATATTCTTTCCTCCTTTTCCTTACCCCATTTTTCTTCTGCATAAGAGTTTTGTGTGCTGTGTGTTAGTGTGTATTTTAAGTTTCATAAATAGTCTCGGGGAGATGGGAAACGAGCTAGAAAAGAAAAACCCTGGTGGACCTAAACGGTAGACGTCGTCACTCTAAGAATCTGACGAAAGCAATGAACCCTCTCTGGAGGAAAATGCAAATACACAGGACAACATGCATTCAATTTAAATGTGGTTTTTTTTTTCCTTAATGTTTTTGTTTGTGTTTTAATAAATGAAGAATATTGTGTTCTGCTGAGAGGAAGGATAACTTATTTTTCTACTCTAGTGATCTATAAGATAGGATTTGATTCTTCCTCTGTAGCATGGGGATTATTTATCTAGTTTTCTTACCTTTATGAGAGGACTCTGATTTTGAGAAAAGCCGTGTAGAATTATGCTGGTTTGTAAAATGAGTGTGATCCAAATCCTCGGCCTCTGTCACAGTGGGTGGTGGTGGCCTGAAAGGAAGCCTGAATTTAGAGATATTCTAAATAGTGCTGACTACAATTCCACCACTCATTGGATCCCATGGTAAAACTATTTTCTGGTACAAATGTGAAGTCAGAATGTTTTAGAACTCTCGTTTTAGTTCCTAGCCAGTTGTATGACCTTGGATACATTATTTTATCTTACCGTTCCTTTGTTTTGAAGCACATAATTCAATTTTTAAAAACCACATATTTTTGAATACCTAATATGTGTGAGGCACTGCGCTAAGGGCTAGGGAAAAGAAAGATTAATGAGATGTGACCACTGTCATTAACGTGAATTTTACTTTGTTTTGGTGGGTTTTACGAAGAAAAAGAGGAAGAAAGGAAAAGACAGAAGAAAGTAATAAAGAAAGTTAAGGAAGGAAGGGGTAAAAAGGGAAGAGAGGGCAGCAGGTAAGGAGGGAGGAGAAGGAAGGAAGAAAGGGAAGAGCGGGGAGGGAGTGAAGGGACTTGGGTCAACATATACAATTTACAGCAAAGATCCTTAAGCCACTAGGTGGCACAGCAGAGCTTAGAGAAGGAAAGGGGAATCCTGTTTGCAATTTTTCATGTCAAAAGAAAACAATGTAAAAAACATTGGGAAATTTTTACTACTCTAAACTTTTTATGTTAACCATGTAACAGACTTTTGCCAACACTTGGCTTTTATGAAGATAAAGAAAAAAAAAAACCTCTCCTTTTTTGTTGTTGCCCCAAGGTTTACTCAAATGTTGCAGGAAAGCACATGAATAAGATCTGTCAATATGTAACCATGTCGTAGGATGCTTTGTGCAATTATATCTACAGTCTGGAAAGCATAAGTATTCTGAAGCTTAGAAAGTTATATTTAGTTTGGTACAATGGGCTCTGTCACATAAAAATAAAGGCCAAGTGTTTTTGAATTTCTCATCCTGTCCCTAAGCAGTAGGTCCCCCCTCCCTGGGTGTTCAGCGTCTGGAAGGGTGAGCATGGGATGTCAACTGCGTACAGAGTGAGGACTCTGCTATGAGTTCTACATAGATGATGTCGATCAACTTTCAGGACCAGTCCGCACAGTAGCGATCATACACATATTCTAGAGTTAGATCAGGTAAGATAAGGTGCGTGATCTGCCCAAGTTCACACAGTTTGTTAAGTGGCAGGGCTAGGCAGGGCTCAAATTCAACTGGACTTCAAAACCAGTGCTCTTAACTACTGTACTATGCTCTAGTACAAAGATTTGTATTTTTAATTAACAGTAGGAACATCTTCATTCAAGACTACATGTAAGAGAAGAATGGAAAAAAAAATCAAGTAGTATTACCAATATAAAATCCTCTAGTTAAAAGAATTTGGAACTTGGGTTGAAACTTTCTCCAATTACAAAGAGGAAGAATTAATTCAGGGTGCCAACTGGTTCTCTATTTTCTTAGAGAGAGTAGAAACCTTGTGATGGACAAAGAAACTGAATTGTATCCACGAATGTTACAAGCTTTCCCTGAGAATTTGCCTCCCCTGTACTACGGTTACTACTACAATGAAGTAAACATCTTGACACCATCTATTTCTGTTAAAATGGCTAACTAAACCTTTCTACCGTGATTAAATGTGAAAGGAAAACATAAAGGCTCTAAACAGTAAGCATATATTCTGATATTAGTTGTATAAGATATCTATAATAAGACAATAGGCTTCTTTAATTTTTAACTATGAACATACAGGTTTCATAAAATTCTTAATTTTTGTTTTGTCATATAGATAATATTTCCGTAAATGGTATTTAAAAACAAATGTTCCTCTCAGGTCAAAAAAAGACTTCAGTTCTACTAGTCACAAATCACTTTTCACTTAACTTATAATAGCCATTCTTAATACAAGATCATTTGATTATTCATTCTTACAATTAGGCCACATATTTTTAAGACTACCTATTAGATTCCAGAAACTTGTTTTTCAATTTCAATAAGCCTTTCTAAATAGCTATCATAGATTATTCTATCTTATCTGGTGTCAGTTATTGGTGTCCTAAAGAAGCCCATGGACTTTGAAGATGGAATATAACTCTGAAGATGATTTTAATTCACTTGACTAAAAAAAGCATGATAAACCATAGCTATTTTACCTACTGAGAACAGATTACTTGTTATTTCAAGTGGGTATTGCAGGGCTGTACATAAAACTAAACTATGGTGAACTAAAATTTGCTTTAAAAACTGGTAAGTCCTTAAGCAGAAGCTATAAGAAGAACCAATTATATACAATTAGAAAGACTGTACAACTGTTGCCCTAAGAACTTTACAAACCTGATATAATTTTCTGAAGGGTATTTATCTTCTGAAAGCCCATGAGGTTAAAAATACAGTATGTCTTTTAAAGGACGTTAAATATATTCACTTTAAAGAAACAGGTCTAGTATCATTAAGTGTGGGCAATAAGTGGCAACAACAGTGTATGTTTTTCAGTGGGATAAAACTTACGTTTTTACGAATAAACGTATTTTTAAAAATCAGGACTGCAATTCAAGGTTTTAATAATTTAGTTTTCAAAATGTCAGATTTAGTGTCATCTTTGTCTTATTCTATTTAATGTTCTCTCCTCCTCTTCCAATCCTATTTCTTTTGCAAAAGAACAGAACACAACAAATTTTTAAAAAAAAGTTGCTTTCCCAGCAAGGTAGACAACTTGAGGTGGCAAAACTGCAGCTGCTCCGTAACTATGACCTAAGACAGCTTGAGAGAAGTCAGAAAGAACATACACCATGTCACAGCAATGCGACCTGGTGGGACTTAGAAGAGCCTGCAATGACTCAAATGAGTATTGCTCAGGAGGCTGAGACTCATATAGAAATGAATTTAAGCATGTGTACATGTCAGGCAAACACCAATGATCATGAAACTCAGTAAAAATTTAAAACCTGAGATTTTACTTAGAAAAATGGTTAACTTCATCCCTTCTTAGTTGAGGGCATCAGTTCGGTGAATCCAGAGACAAAGACTGGTCCTAACAAAAAACACGACCTTCCTTTATGGATCCCAGTTTCTGTGAAATTCCCCATCTTTGCAGAATTTAAGACAGCAAAAAAGTTTGAGAATAACCCCACAAGACCTGATACCACCGCCCAACTGCGGATTTCTGGGACTCCTCTCGAAAGAACACACTCTTCTCAGGCAACACCATCTCCTTACCCCAAAGGCAAGTTCCTCATCCTCCTCTGCAGGTGTCAACTTACCGTGCTGGCCTGTCATTCTTAAAACGGTGAGGTTCATCGCTCTCTTTTGACTTTGAATGCGCTGATTTAGCTGTTTTGGGCTATGGACAGAAAAAACAGAGAGAAAAGAAAAACAAACACAGAAAGCAGAGAACAAAGAAAAAGATTAGGTTTAGCAAATATCTAAATCATGTCATCAAACTCTCCTTAATAATTCCAGGTTACTTACATTCAGTTGAGGAACATAAAATAAATAAATAAATAAATAAATAAATAAATATATATATATATATATATATATATATATATATATATATATA